CTCGAACAATGCCGCTGCTTCAGAAAGAGAAGTCCAAGCCCAACACCATTGCAGAGGACAAGGTAAATTGGTAAACAATGAGAAGGTGTTTTTTGATAGATACTATATTGTATTCATCTTCGTCTCACGAACCTCAGGGATGTCTTTGCTGGCATGACATCTCATTAACCATAGCTTGCTTTCCCAACGCAAAAGAGATTCGATCACCTTTCCCATCCAAACCATTTCACACAGATTCAATCCTGCCCTCGCAAAACGCTTGGCCGGCCAAGGTGCCCACCATCGACGAGATCAAGCCAAATGATGTCTTGCCATGCCTCGACTCGATGGACGACTTGTGGAGGGATGCACGGATGTCTGATGTTCTTCACTACCTGTATGGGGGGACGGGCGTCCAATTGCCCGACGACTGGCGTGGCTGGTTCCCATCAAAGATTTAAATCAAATCTTTGGCCACCTGTACGCTAATTAGATAGATCATGTATGCAAGCCATGGGCCAAATCACCACTTAGGCGAAACAAAGTCGTATTTTAACAATTCCACCAAAAATGGTACACTGTGACAGGAAACGGGGAAAGGATACTGTTGTAGGCGAACTAGTGGCGGAAATTTCCGTAGCGAATGTATCCCTATAATGGTACACTTTTATAGGTTTTCCAGGATCGGGATTTTACGATCCTGAATGGCTCCGAGAAGCTTGCCAAGTGGTTGGCTCCCAACCCCACATGATCCCATCAAGAGCTGCGTGGTGCAATATCATCATAAGCTCGTGCCAGGAAAATGAAGAGTGTCCATGATCGGGATTTGTATGGATTTGCACAGTGATGTCATTTCATGTTGTTCCATCGCAACCCCTTGACATCTTTCACTTCCTGGTGTTCAGGCTTTTTGGTTTGCAGTGATAGCTGTGAGCACAGCCACCATGGCCACCGAAGGTTCCCCCAAAACGTTGCTTTCCCGCCAATGGTCTGCGAGCACGCTGCTTCGTGGGAACTCATACCTTTTGGAGCAACATACTCGCAATCAGAGCCTCAGCTTTGATGACCTGATCCATGTTCCCAAGTTGCATGATTTAGTCCGGAGTTGAAATGTTGGCGGTGTCCGCAGTTTAAGTGTCTGTCCCACACCGCCTGGGGTCTCTGAGACAAAGGCTGCAAAAGGCGAGCTGAAGGCAATGCAAAATGCCAGCACCTCAACTACGCCGCAGGCAAAGCGAGCTTTGTTTACACCCGAGGGTGAAGGAAAGGGAAAGGGCGAACTGCCCAACTTTCAGACTCAGGACACAGTTCGCTATGACCATCCCTCTGCCCCTGAAGCAGGTCCGTCCAAGGTTGGATCAGGTACGCCTTCTGTCCGGCAGAGTGGCGATGAGATTCCCGAGACAGTTGAGGTTCTGACTCCCAAGGACCGCCTATAGCTCGTTGGATCTCTTTGTTGGTATAGGATGTCATCAAACATATATTCAAAAAGACTTATTGGCTAGACGCGCCGCGCGCGCGCCATTTTCAGGCTTCATAACTACTAGTATCGGCGCGCGCGCGCGGCGCGTGATCTGGCTGATGGGGGCCTTACTGCATGTTCAAATTTGTGCTCTCTTTGCATCTTGTCGGACTCTGGCAGGACCCGGGCAACGTGGAGTCTGAGGCGGCTGTCAAGACTACAACGGAGGAGGCTGGGAATGCACTTGAAGGTGAACCCACTGACATCACATCCCATCATCAATGAGTATATATACTCTTCTTAAGGGGTGGAGTTGACCATGTATACACACCTTAATTCAAGCATTTTGAAACACTTGGAGGTTTTGTGGCTCTGCATGTTTGTCAGGTCACTGGTGGAGAACCACGTGCTGAAGCGGAGGCTCTGTTATTTCGATTCGAGTGGGGCATTGAGTCTATTGTATACAAAACGCAATCCTGGCTGCTATGAACTGACAAAACACATGTGCCTGCAAAGGTCTATAGCGGATGCTTGACAGCATGTATGTCGGCATGTTTTGCATCAGGAGAATGCTCACGATGACGACCCCTCGTCGGAGAAGAAGAGCCGCAAGTTGGAATCTGCTCTTCGGCGGGTCTGCACTCCCAAAAGGGGTTCGGGTAAGCTTGAGGTGAGTCAGGACATCTACAAGAAGTGGCTAGCAGGGGGATCACAGCGGAAGGCTCTATTGGATGTGTTGGCCAGTGTCAATGGGGATAAGGATCGGGCTTGGTCACGCTCTTTTGGGTCAGTGTGCATGTGAACAACTTTGAACGATGGGTTGTTGGTCTTAACTTTTTTGCGATGCATGCAGGAGGCGTTCAAGAAACACATCAAGCATATGCAGCGTCGGAGCCGCAAAACCAAGATCCATGTAGACTCGGGGTTCTACACCAAGGAAAACATGAAGAAAAAACTTGGATGGAGTGCGTCAGAACCTCAGTGTAATCCTTTCACATATATATATATATATATATGCATGGTCATGCATGGTCCCTCATGAGAATCCTTTTTGGGGAAGCTCATGGTTTCTGAGGACACGAATTGCAAAGGCAGTGCAATACTGTACCCACCCATCGCGGGTCAAAACCCATGTCAGGAGGGGTTTGTTGTTCCAAACGCAGTTATATATATATATATAGTATTTTGTTTTACAGCGTTCTCGTGGGTTGCTTGATGCACAAACAGTGTTGGTCTATAAGCATTGTTTGCTTTCAATATTTGTGGAGTTAAAACTATGAGTGGCATCCCTTGGCAGGCGGGACAAGTACGAGAGTAACGTGAAAGAGTATTGGGTTGATGTTGAGACCACTGGGAGCTTCGATAACGAGCATGAAGAGAGCCTGACAGATCGGACTTGCGTCGAGGGCCAAGCGGCCACCTTTGATCTTGGCATTCAGCCAGTGATGCCACCCGGTGTGCCTGAAGAGGAGGAGGAAGATGAGAATGGGTTAGAGGATGAGGATCAGGATGATGCTAGGACCACCGTGGGCCCCGGCGGCAAACCTTTGGAATTAGAAAGCGCGCTTGAGGCAGTAGCATACATGGCTTGGGAATGTTTATATGCAGTTTCATTGAGTATACTCCAACCCATTCCAACTCGATCGCTCTAATACATGTGAGGCGGTGGATAACGTGAGTACCGTTATGGGCAACCTGTTGAAGACCCAATCCAAAATGGAGACACTTTTGGAGAAGCTGAACAACTTGAATACTCCTGAAGCGAAGCAGAACCTTACCTGTATAATGTGTGTTGCGGATAGTTCATTTTGGCCCGCCCCACCAGTCCAAGCAACCAAGCTGTCAGATAAGGAGTGGTGAGAAGATTGCTGGCTTCAAATCGAAGCTGGTCTCACTCCATGACGAATTGGCTGATCTCAAATCTTATTTTGATGCCCAGAGTGTGTGTTGTCTTGACCCCGCCAAGGAGAAACTTAGCTTCAGAGATCAGGGTTTGAATTTTACAAAAGTAGTGGGCTGTGTCACCCTCAAACATGTGGTCCTGCAAATGTTAGGAAAATTGATGCGCTCAAGACGCTCGTGGGAAGCATTGAGATGGAGCCTGGCCCTCACTTGACCTTTGCATTTATGAACGCATACCATCGCATGAACATTACCAGATCCCAAAATATTGCGAAGGTCTTCCCGAGCTTTGATGGAAGAGGTCAAACTGAGAAAGTATCGTGCTTAATACTCTCTTGACAATTTACTGCGTATGATCGTGAGTGTGATTGCTTCTGGAATCTTTCGAATCGTATTTTTGCTTTTTGATTTCTACCGTCTGCAGGACCCTGCTTCGCACCAAGCCTGTCCCGAAGGAGAAGGCAGCGTCGGCGAAAAACAAAGCGGCAAAGGCTGCCGCCAAAGCTAGCGCTGAGCCTCGAAAGAGGGCAAAGCGGGATCAAGAAGCTCTGGAAGCCGATTCGACGAAGTCGAAACCCAAACGAGCTCGCAAGTAAGCCCGGAGTCATGTGTTGTTGTGGGCCCTAGAGTGCACTCGTAAAGGCTGCATGGAAGTTGTAGAAAGGCATTCTGTTTCCAAGACATTCGTGACCTGGGTCATAATTTGGATGGCCTCGACGGTTGCCTTTGAAGTGAGTGCAACCTGAATCCCCATGGCTATATAACAGCAGTCTTTGCACTATAGAAATTCACACGTGTCGTTGTCACATACGTGTGATGTTTGAAGGCTGTAGCAGGGCCCAGGGAGGTGGTTGTAAGGTGTAAGTCGCTCCACAGTCCAGTCCAAGACATCTGTTTCAAAAACCACACATACACTCATGCACATGCGCTTTGTTCAGTGCTATCTTATGATATCTTCAAGCCACACTTCCATTATGGGCCGTTTTGGGTATACTCAAGTGATGCGATGTTCATCATTGTGATTTCTGGCAACCCACAGTGGTTGTGAAGTGTTGCGATGGGGTGCAAAATGGCAGCCGGCAACCTGTAGGACCGTGGTCACCGTGGTCACCAGCCAACCAACGACTGCTGGCTCCCAATCTTTACCCTGCGCAGGTGCCAAACCCGAACCGAGCCACTTCGCAGCGCGGCTTCCAACTTCCACTGGCCCAGCAGCAAAAGCGATTGCATCTGCCATAGCTTCTGGAGTGTCTTTTTCAAGGATCGACCTGCTTTATGGTGATTGTTCATTATTGTTTCTACATGTGCTATATATGTATATAGATATCCTGCAAAAAATGAGTTTGGCGTGGGAAGAGTTTCCGAGGTAAGTGAAAAACATGCTTGCACCATTGCTGCAGCCTTCTGGGAAGAGGTGAGCAAATCTTCAACTGATTCTGCACGATTACCAAGCGCAAGGTTTTTGCAAATGGCTTCCCGTCTTTCGCAGACGGGTCATGAGTGTGAGATGTCGAACAAGTTTCAGGCATTCAACCTAACCGCTGACATCCCAATTACTGATGTTGACGTGGGATTGACTTGCTCCCACCCCACTCTGAGATTGAGTGATACCATCCAGTGCCTGGACAGGAATGGCAAAATGAATTCTTGGTTCTTCATGGGCAACACCTCAAAACAGTACCATGACTTTTGGAGCAAGTGGCGTGGTCAACAACCAATGCATCCTGTATTCGAGCTGCATGGGTCACACTTAGGACGATGTGTGCCTATTTGCATACATGCAGATGAAGGTACCTCTCAAAAGAAACGAGGGATGCTGGTTCTACAGACCCAAGTGTGCATGGGGCATGGGACAAGGAAGCGTAAAGCTGATCAAGATTCGCCTGGTGTCAATTTTGTTGGCAAATCACTTTGCACCCGATTGGTTTACAGTGTCATGATGGTGCATGTCTACAGTGGGAAGAAGGGCAAGAAGGAGGCCAACCCCAAGCCGCTTCTACGGCTTGTGGACCATCTTGCCACTGAACTTCGCATGCTCTTTGAGCAAGGGTTGGATGTGCACTTTGAGGGAGCCCTTCAGAGGATCTGGCTTGTCCCCATCGCATTCAAAGGCGATTGGCCGGCGCTTGTGAAGATCGGGCAGCTAAATCGCCATCATCTTCGTGATACCCCGACGAAAGAGGGTGGACATGGTATTTGTCACTTGTGTAAAGGTGGTATGCCTTCAAATGCTTGGCATGATGTTTCCTTCGGCAACATGAACAAGATGCGCTCTGAGTTACCGATGCCATGGCAGCGTGAGCCAGGCATTGTGAGCAATCTGGCTCTTGGGGACGCCTACAAGCATCTGTTTTTTCGCATTGACTTGTTTCACACATGCCATAAGGGGGTCATGGCCGATGCAGGGGCGAATGCAGTCGCATCTTCGCTGCAAACAGGGCAACGTTTTTGGATGTTCGTTGGTGTGCTGTTTGGTTAATAGTTTTTCAAGAAAAGTGATCTTATAGCCGTTGACTGAGTTGGCCTTGGTCGACTTTGTCTACGAAAATGAGAGTGTTGAGAAGTGCCTTGAGCTTATCTACAGCGATCTGAAGGCATTCTGTCGCGCTGAGTCGCTGCAGTTGCATTTGCAAAGCCTCACGCGGACTATCGTGGGCTATGCGAATTCCAGTGCATTTCCTGCAGGGTTCCTTGAATGTTTCTACATTAAAATTGTCCAACCATGTGTTTATGGTTTCATTCATTTGGTCATCTTCCCTGAGACAGTGGTTTGGACTCAGGAACTGGTTCAAAGGAGCAGACACAGTGTCGATCCTTGCTTACTTGGAACAAAGGCTTGCTGGAGAGATTCCAGCACTGGAAGACAAAGTGCGTGAATATTTTGTGTCCATGGCTGGCCTGCTTCAGAATGCCAACTTGTTCATGAGAACTGTATACCATGGAGCGCTTTGGCTGGACGATCGTGAGCGTGACATCCTAATTCAATCTGGGCGGGCTTTCATGGCTGAGTTCATGACGTGCGCGCGTCTTGCGTACTCTTTCGATATGTGCAGGTGGAAGTTGCAGCCAAAGTATCATATGTTTGCTGAGCTTGTTTTTGAACTGGAAGTTCAGAAGCGTGCCGGAATTACTTCCTTGTCGCCTCTTACCTTCAGCACGCAAATGGACGAGGATTTGGTCGGGCAAATCTGCTCCAGGTCTCAGGTCGTTAGCAGCAGAACGGTTCATGAGAGGACGCTGAACCGCTACCGGGTTGCGTTGTTCACTCATTGGTAGGCCCACCACGGACACTTTGGCAAGCGCAGTCAGAAAAGACATTGACATGCAGGGTGCGATTCAGGTTTGTTGAGGTGACACCCAAGGAGGGCACATGAGAGGTCTTCCCACATGAATGGCAACATGAACAAATGTTGCTATTGGCGGAGTTGTTGTGTTCATATTTTGGTGGTGGTTGATGACGCATGCAAGTTGTCCCAGTGATGTTGGCCTCTTTGGTATACACTTCTTTGGATTGGGCTATGTGCAAAGTGTTTGTGCATCAGTAGCCAAGTTAGGAAATACAGAAAACCGTGCACTTGGAGCAGTGTACTATTTAAAAGGTACACCAGGTTTTCCAGGTAGGTTGAGGCCATCGCTAGTAGGTCGGAGGCCATCGCTATTAGGTTGAGGCCATCGCTAGGTCGGA